CGTTGCATAAAGTTAAATCTGTTGACCTCATTAGATTTCATATTTTATTTATAAGAATTTTGTTCCATGTTAAATGGCACATTGTTTCGTTTATAGCTCGAAAACAACGATTCGGCTTTTGATACTATTGTCGAGCCAATAATTTACCTGTTCACCCGGTGATCTAAAAAAAAGGGGGGGGGGTGGAAAAGGGGGGGGGGGCGTGGTTACCTGATTTGCTTGGGATGTCCCGTTTTCAGCTCAAAATGTTAGTGGAATGTCCCGTTCTCCGATCATGCTGTTATGGTCACACAACGCCTGAAATGGTTTGGACATGTAATGAGAATGAATCCAATGAAGCCAGCAACGAGAGCGTACAGAACAAAAGTATCAATGCCAAGAGTTAGGGGACGACCAAGAAGAACATGCACTGAAGGAGTCACTGATGGCTCAAGACTCTACAACATCACAGCACGCTGTGTAACCGAGCGTGCCCTAGCTCGGATACCCATGATCTATTGACCTGCGACACATAACGACAAGAGCGGAATATGGACACAAGAAAAGAAATTAGATATTTAGTCAAGGCAATTTTAAAATTTGTTTTAAATATTTTCTGCATAAATTTTATATTATTTTCTAATCCATTTATTGCTCTCATATTGTTGTCAACCCAATGTGGTATTCAGCTAACTACAAAACTCCTGAGTATATCGTGATTGTGAACCTGCGATCACATCCCTAAGCAACGGACGATTGTGAAATAAGCCACTTTATAACTTCAAATGGCAGAAAATTGCCCCAAGAGATAGCGCTCGTCTGATAAACAATTCGCAGAATAAGTAAACACGGCCTCGTAGGAAAGACATTATCTCTGCTTTGTTTATCGTTGGGGGTAGAAAGTTCATTTCTGAGAATCTGCACAGATAAGCGTTTTCTGGAGGCTGCCCGAAATTCCATTACTGGATGTTACATAATTTCATCATTGTTCCTTCCCATCGTCTCTGTCGTGTGACGTTAGTAGTCATGATTTTGTTTTTGTTTTGGGAGGTGTTTGAACAACGGATCAACATCATGGCACACGGGTAGTAATCAATAAATGCTCCGTTCTTCTTCTAGCTAAAGTCTGAGTCCAAAGAAGCTCAGCACAGTGCACAGGCTCTGTGGTACCGGCGAGGATCCTGAAATAATTTAATATACATTTCAAACTCCAAATTCGGCCCGGATAGCGCCGTTAGGCTAGTTTTTTTTTTTTCAATTTCCAGCTGCACGCGGGCGTCCGGTCTCACTACACAGAGAATAGGGGAAATTACTCGAAGTCCAAGTCCACGTGAAAAAATCCCAGCCCTTACCGGGGATTGAACTTGGAACCTCTAGCACTCGAGGCAGACACCTTGCCTCGAGACCACGCAGCACCTCTAGTAGTCATGATTGTGGTCTTGTAACCTATCAGTATTATTGTTCAAAAAAGGTGAAGAGTGTTAACCATATGACGTCTCGGGACTAGCCAACACGGTGACGTCATAATGAGGATTTAAAGATGGCCGCCCCACTTTTGACCTGCACCAAAGAGAAGCAGTATGCGGGTTTTGACCAGTAAATGAGAGAGACTTATATAAATTCATCGCTGAAGAAAGGTCCAGTGTGGTCATGCATGCCTGTCGGCCCAGCAAGTGCATGGGCGAAGTAAGGAGTTGCACAAAAACGTTACTGCTGTGACACAATGTTCAGCTGTGTGCCTGACCTTGTCGTGAACAGTCTGTCACATAAGTCAAGTTCTTAACACTCTTGACATCCTTAACACTATTATTGACACAAAACAATTGCGGCGTCAGTGTCATTTCTATCACGCTTTTATGTTTTCTTTTGAAGCTCTATCGTACATGCTTCAGCTTCACATAGCTGTTCTGATTTATCATTAGAGCTAACTATTCAATAATGAATTCTACTTCTTCAAAATTTCGAGCACTTGAGGGTCATTGCTGCAGATATCACCCACCTCCATTCATCTCTCTGGTTGGCCTTCTCTTTTCAGTTGGTGATACCAAGTGTTTGCAGGTCTGTCTGGATATTATCTCTCCATCGTCTTCTTGGTCTGCCTCCTGGTCTACGACCATTCATCTCCCTTGTGTATACAGTTTTTACTTCTTTGTCATCTGATATACCCCAATATCCCCCAGCCATTTCAGTCTGTCAGTTTTCATGATGTCATTGATCAATGGTGACCGATTACGAATTTCGTTGTTGCTTCTCATTCTCATTTCCCCGCTGTTTGCATCTTTGATAGATAAAAAGATTCGCCGTAAGACTCTGTTTTCATATTAACCTGTAAAAATGTTTAATTTCTTCTAGTTGTGCTCCACGTTTCAGAGCCATACAAAACATCCATTATTATAATCGTTTTATATATTCGTTGTATTCTTTAACAAATGATTTCACCTAATTGCTTTGATATTTTCAGGGGGAAAAAAAAAACGAAGTGGCGAAAGATCCTTTGTAGATCAAACACAGACAAATAAAG